TAAAAAGCGGAAAAATCTCATCCCTGCAGAGGAAAAGAAATTTTGGATCAAGTATGGGAAGAAAAACACCTTCATGGAGGACTTTTTGATAGAACTAATCCACATTTACTTTACATGAAGAGGAAAACCACAAAAACCTCCTACAGTTAGCCTGACTGTAAAGGAACTCTATCAAATAATCCATCTATCGCTGGGCCACCTCATTGGGAGGCAAGCACTTCTACACCACGAGATGCATTCGAATTTAAAACGTCATACTACTTCTTTTACTTTTAGAGACGATAATAATTAAAATTAATATAACTATCATTATAATTAAGATTATTTGAGATTTATTTTGCCACAAATAAATTTCACGTTTGTGAATAAACATAAATTTTAAGCTGCATCAATGGTTCAAGAACTTAAAACCTAAATTTTACTAGAGGACATCATATGTTAATTTTACATACACTTACTTGAAGATTTAAAGAAAATTTTCATTTTAGAAATGAACCCTGTGGTGTTTATCATTTTTTGATAAATGTTTCAACAGAATTACTTTTTTAATAACATCAATTGTTTTTTAATAGAATAGAATTTTCAATTCTTGAAAAAGTGGTCACTATTTCAAGTGCTAACAGTTTCCAGCTACGAAATTTCCTAATTTTGTACTATAATGCATCATATTATAAGTAAATGCTAATGTTTTCTTCTCAATATTTATTAAACATAAAAGAAATTTAATTTTTGCTATAAGAGGCTTTCTTAAATTTATATTATTCACAGACAGTAAATAAGAATAGAAAAAACCATTATTCTAGACTAAAAAAAAAATAAATAAATAAAAAAAAACATACCCCCAATCTTTCAAATGCTCCATTTAGGCTAGTTACTAAAGCTCGTTGCTGGTTAAATTTTACCCTGATTTCTTCATGTTCAGTTACATGCATTTTAAGTTTCTCTTCAGCTTTCCTCAGTTCCTCTTGTTTTTTGTCCAAATCAGCTTTCAGTGACGTATATTCATCATACTAAAACATATAATATCATCATTTACCTAAATAAAAGTATTTTAATAATTAAACAAATTTAATTAATATCAAGTAAATTTAAAGTTAATTATTAATTTAAAATTTTTGTTACTTATATTTGTCAAACAAACTTTTCAAACATTGAGCATAAAAAATAGATACCAGATTCTTATAAAAATTGGCAAGTTATAATGGAACTTTAGCAAAAGGTATAAAACTATGATGATGATCAGCAGGTTTGCCGAAAACTTCAATGTTTAAAGTAATAATAATAACAAATGAAATTATGAGTAAAGAGATACTCCAGGTTCTATTAGGAAACACAAAAATGCAGCACAGTTATGTTGTTTCTAATGGCACTTGAACAAGTCAAACTTGCCAGCCAATGGTTTTTCCAGAATCAAGTCAGAAAAGTGTGATTCTTGTTTGATAAGAGAGAACCGCAAGTGTGAAAGTACTTCTTAACTCAGAGCCCCATGAACAGATGGCAGCTCCATCCATTTACAAGATCAACTTCTCAATTTAGATATAGGTCTGAAGGGGAAGGAAATTTTCTCCAGATTCCTGTAACCATGGTACTGCGCCAGCAACCGAGCACAATTCATTCGATTTCACAGACTTCATGACCACATACATCCCATGCACTCGGCGGGTTTTAGTGGAGTAGAGGTTCATAAGCCGCCCTGTACCTTTCATAATAAAAATATTTTTACAGCTTAATAAATAAAAAGAACTTGTAATAAAATACTTCACAACAAACCAATTGTGTAAAGTCACGTCGAACATAAATACCAAGGATTAATATTAAATTCTTCTACAAGAGGGAAAATGCTGAAAAGCAGACAAACCTTGTTGTGCGTAATCCCTTAACTTAAAATTTTTGGAATAGAGGTACATGTTAAATTATTAGAGTTTAACAGTGAACTACAGCAAGCAGGAGGGTAGTTTCCATTACATATAAAGTATTAAACTGGATTTCGGTGAACAGATTAAGCAAAACAAGCTTAAATCACCGATCATTTTGAAGAGAAATGTATAAGCACTCCCTAAGGCTTGTGAGCTACAGTAAGCAAGTTGTGTAGCCCTTAATAAAGCAGTTACCATTTTTTTCCGGCCATGGGATCCTAAATGATCAAATTACTTTGTGTGGAAACCTAACTTCATTAACAGTTGTAAATATACTAACTAAAGATCACCAATTATTTTGAAAATATTTACCCACCTAAATTTGATATTGGCATATGCATAAAATAAATTAAATGACTTAAATTATGGTTTTCAAAAACATTGAAAATAGTCATCAGTGAAACATAATTCTATATTCTACAATTTGGCTATTTTGTTTTGAAATGAAAATTTTGATGAGAAGTACTATTGAAATTTTTTTTATAAAAGCATATTCTTTTAAAAATTTTGAGATATTTTTATTAGAACTTCACTTAAACTATTTCGCAGAAATAGCCGAAATATTAAATAAATGATTCATTATTGATTGGATATAAATATTGACTACAAGTTTCAAAGATTAATAAAGAGTCAATGCCTGTTTTAAATAATGATTCAACTTGAAATGCTTAGCTTTGTTACCATAGTCACCGCCACCACAGTAGATCCTGAGAGTTAGCAAGTGATAGCAAGAAAGATTAACCTCTAATATGTTTAATCCAGGGAGATCGAAGCTTTTACCAGTATGTCATACATTACTGAAATCCCTATTAATCGGTTAAGTAAATGGTAATTGGTTCAAAAATTACATTTAGAAAAAACTTTTGAGTAGACCTAAACGGCATAAAAGTAAAATCGAAATAAGGATTTGAGAAGTAGTTTTGGTAAAAAACTCAGACAACTTTTGCATCTCAATACACATTTAAAGATAGCATATCAAATTAAGATAAATAAAAAAACAAATTTTAAAATAATTCAAATTCAATAAAGATCTTCAAATGAATTTATTTGCACTCTCTTAGTATAGCAAATTTGTATTTCAAAGCCAATATTTATTCTCTAACAAGGCTTAAACTGAAATTGATTATATTTTAGCATTAAATATATCTTTCAGAATTGCAATAAATGACTACTTTAAGTTATCAAATTTGCCAACAGAAGACCCACAGCTTATCTACTCAAGCCCGTGTGAACAAAAGCAAACATTTTCAATAAACTTAATTATAGACAGGAAAACTTTGTTTTGAAATTATTACAATATATTACAAAGTTCTTAACTTTGTAATTCTAGATATAAACCAGAATGCAGGCCAATGCCCAAATTATAGTTAAATAATTACTACACAATTTAAAAATTATATTAAATATTAATTTTTTTGTTGACAAATTTGTATATGTTCAAACTAGTCACTCTCTCCTCTAATTATTGATTTATTTTCGAGTTAAAATACAAAGTATTTGCATTAATCTTGATATTATTTTTGCTTAGACTATGTAGTTCTCTGGATATGTTATTTAGCAAAAATGACTGCTTGTGACTAGCCCATATGTTAACATAAATTTTGAAAGATGTGGATTGAAGATTAATGTTTTAGTAAAAATAAGTCCAGTATCATTAAGTTATGAGCAATTATTTGCTATAATTTTGAGCTCTAACTAGTGACCTTGAATTATGACGCCCATTTTCATTTAAACCACAGGAGTCATTATATTGAGCATCAGCTGTACTTCAATTTTGTAAATAATTGCTAAAAAAGTTATTAAAATATATTTGGATTAAAAAAAAGAATTTTGTATAACACCTCCCCAGTTTTGTTTTTGAAGTTCAAAATGCATCTGATTGATTGGATTCTTTGATAAGCAGAAATCTAATTATCTAAAAATACAGAACAAACCACATATTCATTAAAAATTTGAAGCACATAATTCAGGGACTGTGAAAATAGGGAGTTAAGCAAGATGGTAAAAGTTGGAAAAATTTAAAAAAAAAAAAAAATGAATATAAAAGGGAAAAAGTGAGAATTTTTTTTTTAAAAAGAAAGATGATAAAAATTTAAGACAATTTTGGATTTATATATTATTTAAGAATCATTTGAATTTGTTAAAAAAAAACAACTTTCCAGCTGAAAATTGCTTAAAAAAAATCAAAATGAGAACTATATGACCAAAAGTTGCCTTTTTGTCACAACATGCATTAAAAAATTACAGGGTTGACGGCTCACCATTTCAGGCACATTTCTCGGTTCTTCAAACTGCTTATATTCTGCAATCAAACCATTAATATCAGCTTTTGATGTTGTTAGATTCACAATTTTATTTTTCAATTTATCTAAAGTAGAATGGCACTTTTGAAGTTGTAATCGCCCATCAGTCATTGCACTTTCTCTCTTTTTTATTTCAATATCAATTGTTTCGATTTCCTCCTGGAGTTTTCTATAACAATTTAAAAAAAAATTAACAGCACTTGAAAAACTTTTTCTTATTTAAGTGCACTTTATTTAGACACAGATACGAAAATGGCTAAAAAAGTACAAAAATTGCTACCTCAATGGAAAAAATAAATATTCATAAGATAAATTAGAATAAAATCTTTCAAGAAAATATTTACATGACGAACAAAAAGATTACATCTGTAAATGTATGAATGCTCCAGCAAGTTGTGCATAATTTTTCGAAGACACTAATACCAGCAGATTTTTCAAAAAATATAATGAAATAAAGTTAAAATACTGCATTTGTAATTTTAATTTGGTGCGATCAGGGATTGATTTGCAGAAGAGGAAGACCATAGAACTTTTTTTCCAGAAACTTTAAGACAAAAAATTTAATTATGGAAACTATAGCTCATTTTATTAAGCACACACTTCCTATATGAGCAAGTTTCAAAATTAATATACATACTAAAATTTATACAAAAATTCTGTTTTTAAATAACACTATAATATAATATTCCCTTTATTCTTTTTTACTTAAAAAATTCACAGGATATAATAAAAAGAAAATACATTTATAGATCTTTGATATGAACTGAAATACATTCCTTTTATCAAACCACATGATTTTTTTAACATAACAAATGAGTAAGGATAATTATTGAAAGGAATGAGATCTTTGATATGAACTGAAATACATTCCTTTTATCAAACCACGATTTTTTTACCATAACACATGAGTAAGGACAATTATTGAAAGGAATGAGGTCTTTGATATGAACTGAAATACATTCCTTTTAACAAATCACATGATTTTTTTAACATAACAAATGAGTAGGAACAATTATTGAAGGGAATGAGGTCTTTGATATGAACTGAAATACATTCCTTTTATCAAACCACATGATTTTTTTTACATAACAAATGAGTAAAGACAATTATTGAAAGGAATAAGGTTAAGAGCATAGGTCCACAATGTTAAGGAATAAATTATATTCGTATTATTCTTTGGGTCTCGATGCCCTTGTTAGAATGCTTTCTAGAAAAGCAAGAAATAACAAAAACTGTTAATTGATAAATAAATATCTATATGCCTTAAAAGGATATAACTCAAATTTTATTTATGTACATAATATATTCTTTTATTCTACATAGGTAAAAAACAACAATAAACAAAATATTTGTTAAGTGGCTTTCACATTTTATTATTCTGGCAAATCAATCACTTAAGATATTTCTAATTTGCATTTGTCCATTGATAATTAACTTTTCACAATTATTGTACGAACTATGCCTTGGAGAGCCATGTACAGAAAAAATCAAATAAGTGTTTATCAGTGATAATGATTAATTTAGAAAATGTACAGAAAAAAAAACAGTAAAAGATGAATATCATCAGATTATGCTACTTATACAAGATAGTTTTCATCGACATTATGAGATAATTGTACATTTGTAGGTTATCTTGACGCAAAATAGTGACAATAAAGATTTAATAGTATTTCATCACAGTTTTACATGAAAAAACCAAATATTTGTAGGCTGGTTTTCACATTTCACTAATTAGGCAAACTAATCACTTCTAACTAACTGATTAGTTTGCCTAATTTCACTAACTATGATACATCTAACTTGTATGTATTTTAATGAACTAATTAACCTTTAACGATTATTGCAGAAAGTATGCTGAACCATGTATAGAAATAATTAAATAAACATATAACAGTGATCAGTAGAGCCCGGATTTTGATGACCTAAAAAATCTCAATTAATGCCCTTAAAAAGTGCAAAAAATGCCCTTAAAAAGTGCGAAAAATGCCCTTAAAAATTCGACAATTGCGCTGAAAATGCCTTATGACATGACTTAAATAAAGTAAAAATATTGAACTAAAACAATGTTTTACTCTTTAAAATTATTATGAGTCATTTCAAAAAATATAAAGCAATGCAATACTTGTTCATTAAAGTTTGAAAAATATGTTTTATATCCTAAAATAACAAAAAAAAAAAGGAAAATATATTGACTCCAAAACATTTTCATTTTGTATAAAAACTTTAATGAATATAACAACTTCCTTCTCATAATATTGCTAAATATCAGAATTACGTAGGATTATTAAATTTTCTTTGATATTTTGAAATGTAAACTAGCGTTTCTTGTCTGAAAGTAAATTTTTATACCTGGAGAAGCTTCTTTCTACGTCTACTGATGTTATTGGTGCGTACTTGAAAAAGACGCTCTCACTTACTGACAATTATTCTTCAATTTGAAAAGATGTCGCTTAACCTGTTAATATCCTAGAGATTTTCTTCATTGTTTGGAAGCCAGTGTAATAATAAAAAATTGTAACAAAATAATAAAAATTGGAAAAAAATTATCAAAAAATTAAAAAAATGCTTTAAAATGCAAAATACACCGAAAAATTTAAAGAAAAATGCCCTATAATTATAAAAAAAATGCTTTAAAGGACAAAGAATGTCCAAAAATGCAAAAGTCATCAAAATCCGGGCCTCAGTGATCAGCATTCATTTAGAAAAAGTACAGAAAAAAAACAATGTTATCAGATTATGTTACTTACGGAAGATAGCTCTCATCTATATTTCGAGATAAAACATTAGTAGGTCTTCTTGATGCAGAATAATAACGATAAGGGTTTAATAGTATTTCATCACAATTTAACAGAAAAGCTGAATAACATTTTGCAGGAGGATTATCCAACATTACGTTTTGCGCAGTTGTGATATCTTCAATGAGAATTATGTTTTCAATACTGAGCTATAAAGTTAAACAAAAAACAGTCAAAATACATGAATCAATAGTAAAGAAAACATAAAATGAAATTAAAATAAAACTTTTGGAATGCTGAAAAAATTTACATTTAAACATTTGTCTATATAATCATACACTTACCAAAATTTAAAACTAAAAATACCTTACAATTTTTTAAGAATGTTCAGGTATTGCTAATTTGATATATTTACAAGTAATTTAACAACATTTTAAATAAAATTCTTTTTCATCATTTGTAGAGTAAATCCCAGTGAATAAGTCAACCTTTCAAAAATTTACAAAAATCCTGCAGTAGACTCACACACTGGTATTAAAGTTAGACTTTCGTTGATTGTAATTATACATACATAATAAACAATGAGACAGATATGATATGAATAACTCTGTATTAATTTATCTTCCCTCTTTAATAAGTTAATAACTTTAATAAGATCAATCAATAATTTCAATGTAAAATTTTCAATTGGTAAAATTTAAAATAATAAACTAACGTTTAATTTTAATAGCAGCACTGATGACTTTAGAAAATGAGCAAGTTAATAACTACTTTTGCTTTTAAATTATTTTCTGATTTATTATTTAATAGTATAAAGATTCATTTAACTTGTTTCAACATTGAATTTCATTGAAGNCAAACTAATCACTTCTAACTAACTGATTAGTTTGCCTAATCAGTTAGTTGCTTAATTAGTTACTAATTAGTTTGCCTAATTTCACTAACTATGATATATCTAACTTGTATGTATTTTAATGAACTAATTAACCTTTAACGATTATTGCAGAAAGTATGCTGAACCATGTATAGAAATAATTAAATAAACATATAACAGTGATCAGCATTCATTTAGAAAAAGTACAGAAAAAAAAAAACCAATGTCATCAGATTATGTTACTTACGGAAGATAGCTTTCATCTATATTTCGAGATAAAACATTAGTGGGTCTTCTTGATGCAGAATAATAACGATAAGGGTTTAATAGTATTTCATCACAATTTAACAGAAAAGCTGAATAACATTTTGCAGGAGGATTATCCAACATTACGTTTTGTGCAGTTGTGATATCTTCAATGAGAATTACGTTTTCAATACTGAGCTATAAAGTTAAACAAAATACAGTCAAAATACATGAATCAATAGTAAAGAAAATATAAAATGAAATCAAAATAAAACTTTTGCAATGCTGAAAAAATTTACATTTAAGCATTAGTCTACATAATCATACACTTACCAAAATTTAAAACTAAAAATACCTTACAATTTTTTAAGAATGTTCAGGTATTGCAAATTTGATATATTTACAAGTAATTTATCAACATTTTTAATGAAATTCTTTTTTATATTTTGTAGAGTAATTCCCGGTGAATAAGTCAACCTTTCGTTAATTGTAATTATACATACATAATAAACAATGAGACAGATATGATATGAATAACTCTGTATTAATTTATCTTCTTACTTTAATAAGTTATATATAATTAATTTTGCATTTTCTCTCATCATATATTTTTTTTACATTAAAAGAATTTTTTTCCGAAGCAATACTTTCAATTATGCTCAGAAAAAAATTAAGTATGTAATAAAAATTAAGATAATTTATTCAAGAGTATTTCACACAATATAACACTATGAAAACCTTCGAAACATACAATAAAGCTACAAAAACGAAGATTCCAGAACATCATCTGCGTCGGATTTAATTTAATTACATCAGCAGTGTCGTCATACAGATCCCATTCTGCAATGGATTCTACTTTATCCTCATTTGCTAAGTCCAACAAAAAATAGTCTTCAACCCACTCAAAGATTTCAAAATTCCGCCCTTTTCAAAGGATCTTATAATAACATGTTTTTTTATGGGTCTATTTAGACACCAGACATACCAGAAATTTGCCATCTCGTTATCAAAAATGGGAGGACAAAGACAATTAATAATTTTTCATAACTCATTCTTAAATAATCTCTAATTTAACAGGCAAAACATGAAAGCTTTTTGCATCTTATGATTGCTCTTTGACATCTCACACTGCTTGCCAAGAATTTGAAATGTTTTAGTAAATTATCCAGCGTTTTTTTCCCCCTTCTTTTTTTTGTTAGCCACAACTGAACTACACATAAATATAATAATATAATGAATTAGTTATTCATAATAACTTTTTAATTTTTTAACAATAGATAACTTGTATGTCATTAGTAAATCACTATATTAATATTTAACATATAAAAAATTTTTAAAAATTAGTTTAACATAGTGGAATGTTAGTAATATAATTTAATGCAGATAGATCAATCAATAATTTCAATGTAAAATTTTCAATAGGTAAAATTTAAAATAATAATCTAACGTTTAATTTTAATGGCAGCACTGATGACTTTAGAAAATGAGCAAGTTAATAACTATTTTTGCTTTTAAATTATTTTCTGATTTATTATTTAATAGTATAAAGATTCATTTAACTTGTTTCAACATTGAATTTCATTGAAGATACAATAAAAATAACTGAATAATTATTTTTACATGCTCTTTAAGCAGTTAAATCTGTAAAAAAATCATGATTCAAAATTTTTGATGCAAAAATAAATTTTATGATGCAACAACAAAAACTTAAGAGATATGTAAAAAATATAAATTGCACAACTAAGTTATACTTAGGACACAAAATTTTGAAGTGTGAAATGCCATTAGAGTTGAAGTCAAACTTCACTTTAATTTTTATTTTATTCTTATTTATTTTTTCAGCAATGTGAAAAAGAAAAACTGACATTGCTCGTAAAATTACTGAACCATGATGCTTTTACCAATTTTTTTTGAAAGAAGAAAGCAAAGTTTGGAGGCGTGACAGTTCTTTATCAAGACACAAGATATATTTGAATGCTGGTATTTCTCTTATTCAGAGTGATATTAATCGATTTATTAAAAATATTTTTTCAATACTTTTAGGGCTGATATGATAACTTACTTGATCAATGAGACAGTTTGCTATCACTGGATCTTTAATTGTCAGTATATCCAAAACAGTTGGAAAATCATTTGTTTGAGCTTGATGTTGAGAAACATCATGCATCTAAAAGTAAACAGATTTTTCTTAGCGGTTTGTTCTTACTTTCAGTACTAAATATGATTATGTCCAAAATCACATAAAAATTAAAAAAAGTATATATATATATATACATATATATATGTAAAATGATGCAGTCGGACCGAGCAGGAAAACAGACACAGGATTTTAATTAAATCAGAGTAACTTTTATTTGATCATTCTAAGTTGAGTGGGAGCGAAGAAGTGATGTTTACTCCATCAGCAAACAGTTTTTCTGGTAGGGAAAATCTTGCAAAAAATCCTAAAATGTCTCTATCTAGGGAAAAGAGGGAAATCTCAGAAATTACTATTGGTTAATGAACTTGCTCGAGTGATTCCCACGGCTTAAAAGGGAAAAAAGATCTTTATTTAAATTTATGCATAGTTGGGCCAAAAANATATATATACATACATATATAATAAGAATAATATAAAAAAAGAATGTCAATCGTATAAAAACTATAACTATCTCATTTTATAATTATAAAAATTTTGAAACTTCTATCAAAAATGTTTTTTACATTTTACTAATCAATGCATATTTTTAAAGCAAAAATTAAAAATTCTTAACTTCTTAGTGATAAAAGGTTAGTTTCAATAAATAATATTTTAAATAAATTTTTTGAGAAAGCCTAAAAATAAAGTAGTAAATAAAAATAAAGTATAAGCAGTAATAAATAAGCAATAAATTAATAGTTAATTAAATACAGTCGAACTAGTTTATAACGAGCAGAAAGGGACCGTAACATGTACTCGTTAAATCCGAGTGCTCGTAATAAACGGGTACTTAAGACAGGCTTGCAACCAGAAGAGGGGGGGGAAGCTTGGNTTGGGAAGTCAAATGATTGAGTTTACTTAAAATTTAATTAATACTTACTTGAATTACATAAAATTAATTTAATTAAATACTTTTCTTAATTTAACGACAACTAACTCCCCTCCCCCCCGAACCAGCAAAAAATTTCTAGTTGCACAACGGTCTTTAAGGAAAGAAAAATAAAGGAAAAGATTCTTTTCGTTTTTTTTTTATTTCGCGCGTTTATCATTTTGAAAAAAAAAAGATAAGACAGAAAGACTAGAAAGATGAGAAAAAAGATTGCAAGACAGAAAAATATTACTCGCTAAAACCGGGTCTTGTTCGTTAAAAGTGATTTCTGTTCCATAGATTTAACATTGATCCAACCAAATATTCTCGTTCCCCTCGTTAAATTTGAGTTTTCGTTAAAAACGAGTTCGACTGTAAAATTTAAACGAGTAAATAAATGAATAAAAACTTCTGTTTCTAGATGCTTTTAGCTTCATGTAAAATTTTCATACATGGATTTTTTTATTTGTAACCTTTGTTGCACAGCTGACCCAATTTTTGAGTTTACGAGTACCAATGTTCAACTCCGTAGCTTTATAATTTTGAACTCAATTAGGAAAATAAGGAAACTCTCAGATCAAGTTGACATTTAAGCCATTAGCATCATGGAAAAACAAGCTATTAATTAATGAAAAATAATAATTTTAAAATAAGGCATGAATTGTAAAAATATTGTCCTTATAGAATTTAAATTAAAAACGGTAGAGAAAACTATTAATTTTCACCCACTTGTGCTCACAGTCTAGGGACAGTTATAAATATGCATCATTGGTTTACAAGAATTGCGTGTCAAACAAGTTTAGTATTTTTTAAATAATTAATAATATTATATTATAATTTAGTCTTTGCTCTCCACACATTGCTGTTACGTATACTAGTTGAATAAAACAACATAACCATCTTCAACTGAAGCTCAAGAACTCTCCTACTACAGATAAGGGAAAACGCCATGATTTATTTGTGATCGATCAACAGCAAATGAAGAAAGAACGGCCAAACAAGCGTGCTTGACATCACCGACGTTTGTTGAATGCATGAGAATGCTACATCACCACAAACAGGTTTCACAAAACATAAGATCTAAACTTTATAACAATCTATCAAAAAAAAACCTTTTAGTATGCAGCTTTGTTGAGCCTGGGGTTTTGCTTTTAAAAACATTTCTGCTGCATTAAAGAATTCATCAATGCAGTATGCTTCTGTAACTGAAAAACACAGATGTTTCGTAAGAATTATGTAGCAGAATGGTCCGTTTTATCACATTTCAATAAATCAACATTTCCCCATATTTTTTTTAAGTCCTATAGTTTTAATAGGATGTTATTAGAACATATAAATTCCAGTATGAGTTAACACTTTTTGATTCAACCAATGCTTTACTCTGGACTTCTGCCAAGTAGAACTGCTACTCATGTCAATCCCTAATGGTAAGTGAAAGGAGAACCAAGGATGAGGAAGGGAAAAAAAACAAAAATAGGTTGAGCAGAAGACATGACATCAATCCATGCTGCTCAGCTGAAATGTTTGTGAAGTGAGGAGGCAAACAAAAATATGAATGCACAAACGAATGCGAGAAAGGAATGCACAATTTCAAGTGTAGCATGCCTTATTTTTTTACGTAGCTTATATACAAGTTTTGAATGAATTTGCATATGAGAAGCATACTCCTTTGCTTATAGAAGGATGGGTTTATATTCAGAAATATACAGTACTTATGGCATAGTAAAGTAAGGTTTTCATACTAAGGATTTTAGAGCAAATAAAGAATAAATAGCATTTTCCGCTTCATAAATAAAAGAGCAATAAATAAAATAATATAGATTGATTAGTATTAATGATTTAATACAGGGGTGTCAAACTCAAAAGCTAACTTCGGCCAAATAAGCAATGCTTAACTTTTGGTGGGCCGCAAAAAAAATCAATGTTTATAGAAACAAATATTTTTATTTTGAATAGTACATTGTAATAAACATATATAAAGTTAAATTATTAATTACGTCCTGATACTTGACATCTCTTCTCTGCTACTATCTTTTCTATTTCGGGGAGATATTTTATTGGCCGAGACCACTTTCAAAATTGACCCAATGTGAGCGTTATTAATACGGTTTCAGACAGGAGATTTATTTCCATTCTTAACAGAAAATAATTGCTCTCACTGATCAGTACTTAATTAAAATAATTCTATAATACTAAATAATTTTATATGCGAATTTTCCAGTATTTTCAAACCTTGCGGTAAATATTCGTAAAATTCAAGCACACCCACTTCAATGAATTTTGCCTTCAAATTTGAGTAGTACTGAAACTCAATTATTTCCACTTGCATATTACTGCAAACAATTAAAAACCCCTAGAGTTAGGGATGACTTTCAGTCCCAACTAACTATGAAGCTTGATGAAAAAGCAATCGAAAATATTGATTGCATAGATGGAAAGTGGACTTCTTTCAAAGAACACATGCGATTGGACACATGCGATAATGTAATAAGCAAAATAAAAAGAGCTGAGAAAAAGGATATGCTTGTTACAGAATGTCGCAACGCGACCCAAAGAAAAAACCAGGGTGGGTAGCCAAATCTTTGAATCAAAAATAAGCACTTTTTAAAAACTTTTCAAGCACTTTACAAAAATTTTCAAGCACTCGAAAAATTCATATTCAATCAATGATATTATTAAAAAACAAAAACTTTTTATAAATAGTTTTAGCGTTAAAAAAAAACCCCCAAAAGAAACAGGCGTAAATCGAAACAATCAGTACTTTCCCACATCACCGAGTGAATTCAACTTGACCCTGAACTCAGAACAAAAGTACCGTTACCCCCTACGTCAAAAAAAGTGTTAGAAGTAAAATAAAATAAACAAGAACAAAAATAAAATGAATTAAAAATAAAAACATTTCATAAGGATCTGATATTCTCTATCCGAATTGGAACACCCGGGTTTCGGTTTCAAGTGTGCGCATGCGCAAGTCATAACGTGGGTACGACATGAAGTCCGCGTGAATGATTACGTAGCAAACTCCCCATTTTTCGTGAAATGCATGGGATCCACCAGATATCACTGAAGGGAAGAAAAAAAATTATTCGGAAAAAAGCACTTTTTAAAAACGCCAGCTGAAAAAAGCACCTTAAAAAGCTTTTAAAAACGAAATCCCCAAAAAAGCACCTTTAAGTACTTTTAACAAACGCTACGCACCCTGAAAAACGATGCATATAATATGATGCTCAGTAAAAAACACTCGAGAACATCAGTAGAGAAATACAAAACTGCAAGAAGAGAAGAAAAGAAAGTTCATAGGTAGAAGAAAAAGGTTTTTCACGAAGACCACTTTAAGGATGTCGAACATCTCCGAGGGTCTAATGAGAGCAGAGCTTTCTTTCGTGGCATTAACTTTGGTCGTCAGGAGTTCAAACCTAGAACTAACCTTTGCAGAAATAAAGATGGAGATATTTTAAGCGATAAAACTGACATTCTTAATAGGTGGAATGAACACTTCGACAATCAACTTAACGTAGAGTGCGTTCAGACAGAGTCCTGCTCACCAAACGTTAAGCAAGAGTGTATTGCACCTCTTTCAATGATTGAGATTGAAGAAGCAGTTCAAAAACTTAAGAACAACAAGGCTCCTGGCCCAGATTTGATATCACCAGAATTCATCAAAAACTCAGGACCAGATGGGTTAAAGGCCATACATAATATTCTAACATCAGTATGGGAAAAAGAGATACTCCCTGAAGAATGGAAACACAGCACTGTTTGTCTTATACACAAAAAAGGAGACATTCTTGAATGTTCTAACTACCGGGGTATCAGCCTGCTCTGCACTGCATATAAAGTCTTCTCAAAAATTCTATTTTTCTATTTAACAGACTTAGCAGACCCTATGTAGAAAACATCATTGGTGAATACCAGTGCAGTTTTAGGAAGGGCAGGTCTACAACTGACCAAATATTTTGCATAAGACAGATTCTGGAAAAGACCAGGGAACTTGGAATTGGTACCCCCCACCTATTTGTGGATTTCAAAACTGCTTACGACAGTGTAAACCGGAAGCGACTCATTGAAGCTATGCAAGAATTCAATATCCCGGACAAGCTTGTACGACTCACCACACTTACACTGTGTAAGACCATGCAGAAAGTTAAAATCCAAAATGACTTCTCGGAACCAATGGAGGTAAAAAATGGTGTAAGGCAAGGCGATGCATTGGCATGCCTACTCTTCAATTTGGCATTAGAAAAAATTATCAGAGATTCAGGAATCAATACCAGAGGACATATCTTTCATAAGTCTGTACAAATTTTCGCATTTGTCGATGACATTGACATCATAGCGCGAACACAATCTGACTTAAAGCAAGCTTTTCTATCCATGGAAAAAAAGAGGCAGAAAAAATGCATCTCACTATTAACCAGGAGAAAACCAAGTATATGCAATGCACCAGAATAACTGATTCTACAACTCACTTGCAAATTTTTGAATACAAGTTTGAAAAGGTTAACAGTTTTTTTTTTAAAAATCTTGGTTCTGAAGTCAACTTTAATGGCAATATCGCACCCGAAATACAAAGAAGAATCAATAGTGCAAGTAAATGTTCTTATGGATTAAAAAAATATTTAAAATCAAACCTACTAAAAAGAGATACTAAACAGTTAATTTATAAATGCTTAAT